GCAGTCAGAACACCTCATCCAAGCCTTTGAACGTGGCTAGACACGATTCTTTGGTCCTCCAGCCATCCTCCAACTTAATAATCACAGAGGCTGGGCTTCCGAAGCTCTCCGGACATGGGCCAGCGATCACGGAACAGAACTTGAAATTGCTCCCGGCCAAGCACATACCAGACTGAGCGTAGTCGAAAGACGACACCAAGTCTTAAGACGAGGCATTGAACTTTTCCTAGCACATCAACCTGAGATCAACATGACCATCCAGGACCAGATTGCCCGCTCTCTCTGTTATGTCGTGCCCCAGATCAACAACACTCCAAACGTGCAAGGCTTCAGTGCCACACAATGGGCAATGGGTATGCAACCCCGCATACCAGGAGTCCTCATGGATCACGACCTCACAACCGCCCAGCTGACACCAAGTGAAGCCATGGAACAGAAGCTACACCTCCAGAAGCAAGCGGCTATCGCCGTGATCGAGGGCGACAATGATGCCCGGCTGCGACGTGCCTTGCTGCGACAGCACCAGGGCCATCCAGTTTCACTACTCCACTGGCCAACGCGTCTACTACTAGAGAGACGCCCCTGGTGGAGCAGGACCTAAACTTCGATGGAAAGGCCCTGCAGTTGTGGTGATGACAGAACCCGGTCGCACAGGACCAACAACCAACACCTACTGGGTTGCGCACGGCACCACACTCCTCAGAGTGTCCAGCGAACACTTGCGACCAGACCTCAACCACCATGACGAGACGGAGCCAACACAAAAAGCCAAACAAGCATTGGACCAGATCCGTGGCCGCAGCACGACACTCTACACCGACCTCACCAAAACCAATAAGCGCAAACGCGCTGAAGTGGTCACCGAAGATGAAGATGACATCATGGAATCAATGGCTGACGCCATCACTGACACGCCAGCACCAGCAGAACCTGATGATCATTGGGACGTCGATGAAGATGGTCCTACTTGGACTCGCATCCATGTTCGACCACGGCAGACACTTTATGTACCCACAACTGATGAGCACGCCCCATGGCGCGACTTCCAGGACTCAAGAACCACCACCATCCGACGCCCAGACCAGCCCTACAGCAACCGCACCGTGATGCGAGATGACTGGCGACTCCCAAATGCCAGTAGAGGCATGCCATTCCACTGGATTGGAACCACAACCTTCATCCTGCGGACAGATCGCCGGCAACCAGCCCCTGCGATGACCACTCCACCAATCGGTGAAGCAACAGGTGAAGACCAGCCAATGGATCAAGATCCCACGACAAATGCACAAGAGGCCAGTCAACAAGACGGTACAGGCACAACAGGAGCTGACAGCAGGGGACAGACACCCGAATCGCCACCAATGGCGGCAGAGACAACACGACCTCCAGCATCTAGCATTGGCGAAGAACCAGAGCCACCACCAAGCGTGATCGAACAGGAGATCATTGCTCCAGTGCCGGAACACCAACGAGCACTGTACCATGCACCTGAGACCAGAGAGACATTCCAACAACAGAGGGCACGAGTTGATCGACAAGAAACTTTGTCTTTCTATACCCCAAGCACCACTGGCCGAATCAGATATGGCCCGAACAGAGAAGTCTTCGAAAACAGAAGATCAACAACAAGTCCCTACAACAAGCCTCCAGCACCTGACCCAGAGACGGCACTTCTACAGGCAACCTACGAGGCTGACATGGCCAAGGCAGACGCCACCACACTGCCACCAGGCTGGCGCCTGGAAAACGGCTACCTCACTCTTGAAGACACGAGGGATGAGTGGATCTTCAAAGATGACAAGTTGATCCGACGACACTATTTGCCCAGGAACCACTACTTCGACCCAGCAGAACAAGATGCAGGATGTCCCCTCCCCCTGCACTACCTAAGCAAAGATCGCCACACACTGGGAAGCGACAGCCTGAACCAGTACGACAGATGGAAACAGAAGAAGAACACCTACAGGCAACAAGCCTGGACAGGATCGACGATCTTCAAGATCATGCCTGCCTACCGACATCTAGCACGACAGATCTTCTACAACGTCAGCAATGGACACCAGTCCTACAAGGAGACAGAAACAGCTGAGCAAGCCTACAATGCACAGCAACCGCCACGACCAAAGAACATGAAGGCCAGAAAAGACCAGCTCAGCGAACGCAACATGAGCCTTGAAGACAGGCTAGCATTCCTCACTACAAAACGCAAAGAGCTGGAAAGCTTCTTCCAGAACGATGTCTGGGAACTGGTCTATGATGATGGCAGCATTCCTCCAGACCGCATCCTCAAGGCACACTTCATCCTGAAGTGGTCCAAGTGGCCCAATGGTGATCCCAGAGCTAAGGCCAGGCTCATCACCCAAGGATTCAGAGATCCGGATGCCTGGAGTGGACAACTGAGCACTGACGCTCCCACACTCTCCAGAATGGGACGGAACTACATCATGTCCCTAGCTGCCAACACCGGCTGGAGCACCTTCTCAGCCGATGTCTCAACAGCCTTCCTACAAGGAAAGGAGCACCCGAGCCACAGAACTCTGTGGATCAAACTCCCAACAGACGCCAAGAAGATATTGGGGATCACCGATCAAGACGGAGACAAAGCCCTGATGAAGTTGAGAAAGCCAATGTATGGGCTCTGCGACGCCCCAAGAGCCTGGTACAGTGAGGCTCGCGAACGAGTCACACGATTCGGCGCTGTGGTCCACCCACTGGATCCCTGTCTGTTCATGGTCTATGACTATGACGCTCCGGAAGACCAATGGCTAGACCAGCCTGATGACAATGGCAACACTGTCCGACAGCCACCACTCCTGGGACTCTTTGGTCTCCATGTGGATGACATCCTCGGCTGTGGAAACATGGACAACGCCAGCTTCCAAAAGTTTATCAAACAGATGAAGCAAACCTTCACCTTCCGGACATGGGAGCAAGATTCTGACATAGAGTACTGCGGCGCCAAGATCCAACGGATCAACCAACACCACTATGAGCTGCAGCACACAAGCTACTTGGCAAAGCAAAAGCCCATATCCTTTAAGGACACCAACAACAACGCCAACAGCGACCAACCTATGACGGAGAAACAGCGAACAATGCTCAGAGGCCTAGTTGGAGCGTTGCAATGGCCTGCGACCCAAAGCAGCCCACACCTCCAAGCCTCAGTCAGCCAGTTGGCTGGACTTACGAGCAAAGCAACAACATCCACCCTCCGTGAGGCAAATAAATGCCTGAGGTTCGCAAAGCAGCACAGCGATGTTGGCCTCAAGTTCCAAAGGATTGGAAGGCCAGAAGACCTCACTCTCATCGCTTACAGCGATGCAGCCTTCGCCAGCAGACATGACCTGACCTCACAGGGAGGCCAATTGATCCTCCTCGTGCACCACTCAGTCACAACAGGTCAAGAAGGCAGCTACCACATCGTGGACTAGAGAAGTTGGAAGCTACCACGTGTAGCCCGGTCAAGCCTGGCGGCAGAGAATCAGGCGGCATCAGAAGCTTCAGATGCCCTCCTCTACGCAGCAGTCTTCTGGAAGCTGATTTGGTCACCACACCTTGCCTTGGAAGACAGCCACGCACCCAAGTTGGCACACAGTCCACGACTGATCGTGGACGCAAAGGCATTGTACGACCTGCTCACCAAGCAGGACCTACAGACGGCATCACAGACAGACAAGCAAACAAGCATAGAGGTCTTAGTAACCCGTGACAAACTAACATGCACAGGAGCAACAACCTCCTGGGTCTCAAGTGAGCTACAATATGCAGATGGCATGACAAAGAACACCGCAGCGAGCTTACTAGCGCAACGACTTCGAACACACGTCACATGCCTGAGGCCAGACCCGAACTTCACAGCATCAAAGAAGAAAACACTACAGCAGCGAAAGCAAAGCCAGATGAGATATGCCATACCGAAGAAGGCAACACAAATGGCAATGATGGCATCAATGACAACGACGACAGTGGCACTCAACACAGACAACAACAACACAATCCACACCGACAACATGAATGACAACAACTTTATGTTCCTCATCATCCTCTTCACCCTGGCAATTGCTCTAGTGGCCAATTTGATCTGGCACCTCCTGACCACCACCTGGACGAGAAGCAGGTCCCTGCCACCACCTACGGCACCACCGAGCAAGAACAACACCACCGACAACTATGCCCAGACGAATGAGGACAGACCACTCCTCACACTGGTGCAACTCCGAAGGCGAGAAAAGGTCCTAAGAAGAAAACGAACACCTTCGAAACCAGGTCATCAGAGTTGACAATCTCTACAAGACCTGCAGAGGTCAAGCAGAAAAGAAACTCCGAGACCAACGACTCACCTATGAGGAGAACGTAATACGCATCCGCAAGATGTACCTGGGTGAGATCAAGCAACGAGCAAAAAACATGTTCATGGAAGCCCTCGACGGCGACATGTTCAGAACTGAGCAGGGTGAGTGCTGGCATGCCGACAGAGCATGCGCAAGCAACAGAACCGCGAACGTGGTTCACCGACTGAGGCCCTGCAAAGTGTGCGCCATGCACCTTGGACGCCTTTTAATGTCCACACCATCAGGCGAAGAAAGTCTGATGATTGAAGGCCTGGAATCTCTTTCGGCCGATGAAGTGTTTGAAGGGAATGCCTCCGAACCAACATCCCTTTCCACCGGTGTGAATATGCATCCGCATATTGATGTGGATGTGCCAGGTTCGTCAACTGATGCATGAACATCGTGCATTTTCGCCCGTGCCTTTTCCCTTTCGGCACGAACCCCCACTTCAGGTTCGGGAGGGCTTCTGTCATGACGCCATGTGAGCCCGGCTGCGCTGGCCGTGAAAAGTCCGCGGCTTCGTTCGACAAGCTTTGTTAGTTGGTGCACACCTTGTGCGGTGCTTCAAGTTAGTTGCTACCATCAAAATATTATTTAATGTTATATAATACTTAAAATATATGGTAATAATGATATGATATTTAAAAAAAATTATAATAACAATAGATATTAGGATGTTCTTGGTTTTTTAGCCAATTCCTCGAGAAACCGTGAGAATATGATCAAAGTCACCATCGTGGACAGGAAAATCAAATTTTTGCCTCCAATCTTTTTCGTTGATCTTCCGGGAGATGCGGCAGTTGTTGTTCCACCTTCCCAAAATCGACAAGATTGGGCGTCAATAAATCATGAATTTGAGATGAACAATTTAACGTTTGCGTTCCCAGCCTCGGGTGAATCCAAGTTGGCTGCCATGAGTGACAGTGTTGCTCGCTCCAGCAATTCTGCACGATGCCTGAAGATGAGGAAGATCGCATGACATCGTGTTATTTCCAAAAGCTTCTTTCTTACCTCAAAGACTTGAACATCAAATGGCCAATACCTGTAGCGCCCCTGCTAGTTGTGTTTTGAGCCAATCTTAACTCCTATGATCATGTGATAATATGACCTCAAGTTTGCAGTGAGGAGGATGCCTATTACAAAGTGTAATAATTAGAAAGACATAGAAAGATCTTATTTTGCAGATGTTGCGTTTCCTCCGCTGTCTTTTCCAAATCTTCGGATGGGTCCAGCGGCTGACCTCGAGGCAAGCTTCAGCATCTCTGCACAATCCTCAAGGTCCTGCAGAACAAGTTCGTCGGAACAGACTGGATTGAACAATGCCCTTCTTTGCGTGGGCATCCCCAGCAAACTTCCAATCCCAACAACGCCGCCGTTGGCACATCGCACAGCTGTGGCATGCTGTAAGGAAACCCTTCTTTTTCACCCTGCACGCACTGGTCACACGTCGTCCATGAAGCGGATCGTTGTCTTCGGACTTCCATCAGCACACCCTCCACCTTGTGCCGCCACTTGACTTCCTCTGAAGGCCTCACCACCTGGGAAAACAACACAAACACCTTGTAAACACAGTGGAACACTGTATAACATTGTATAGCGATCAACAGGTGGAGGCACGTCGAGTCATTTCCTTGTACTTGGCTCCCCTTTCTTTCGTTTTTCCTGCCGCAAATTGCAAAGGAAAAAAGATGAATGAAAAAAGAACACATGAAACAACCATGTAGAAGAAGCTCTTTCAGAGACAGATGAAAAATCCTGAATTTGCTGGAGCTGTCCTAATTAGGTGACCCATGTAGCTCTTCCATTGGTCGGAGAAACTTCCTCGTCTTGATCTGTGAGCGGTTCTTCGGACAGCTCAGGGATTCCCTGCAGCGACCGACGTGACTGACCGGAGGATCCGCGGATCCGCGGTGCGGTAGACGGAGTGGAACAACGGCTCGGTGCCTTGGAAGAAGGCTTGATCGGAGGATCCAGCATGCGACCTCGGTTCCATCTTCCGAAAATGGGAGTATTCACTGAAGAGAATCCACAAGTCACAAGACCCAAGAGGCTGGAATGTCACTTCTTTTCATTCGTTGAAAACGCTTTGTTTTGGCTCGCTGAGGTTCAAACTCAGAAGAGGGGTGAAAAAGTCGTCTTCCGTCTCACCATGCGAGCGATTCGCCTGCGTGTTGCATGTATTTTCTCCTTTCTTGGCAGCACCCAGGCAATTCCAGGACCTCATCGCCATTGTGATGTGACTCTGCGCGAAAGAAGCCATGGTCCTGGCGAGCTGCGGCTACTTCACACGTCGAAACGATTGGAAACGTTTGCCAGTTTTGCTGTCAAAACAGGTCAAAGCAAGATCTCTGCTTCTCTAGCAAGAAACCGCCAAAACATGTCAAAACCCGTATCAGTCTGAGCAGTCCTTGATTTCCTGTAGCCCATTTGCTCCACAGCCAAGCCGTCGACGTGGGCGAGGCTCCAGCAAAGACACCTGGCGATGTAGATGCTTGGAGCAATTGAACCCTGCCCTCTAAGGCAAAACAACTACTGCATAGTACTGGCAGCTTTTTCCTAGTAACAAGGTGCATCGCTACTAGCATCTACTAGCTTTAATTGATCTACTTACGTTGCTGTGTGGCATCGAAGATTGAATGTCTTTGATCTTACTTTTCATTGTGATTCACGAGTGTTTGTTGGTTGGGCATTGATTATTTGACAGATTATATACAAACCAACATTTAAACAAATGAGGTGAAGAAACTTGAGGACAGTGGGGACGAAAGCGAGGGGTGTGGAAGGATCAAGGGGACGCAGAGGGAGGGCAGCAACGCAACGCTTTTGTGCCACGAGCGCAAAGTGTTGTTGGCTGAGTCAACCGAACACTTAAAAAAAACTCGACTTTCATTCTCACAAGGACGAGGGAGGAGTCGAATAGCCTCTTTCAATTCACTTTACAGGGGGGGGAGGGCCCCCCCCTAGACGTTTCAATCTGCTAATTGAAATATCAATTCCTTTGCGAGGGGGGTGGTTATTGAAAGAATCAATAAAAAGGGAGGGGGGCCCCCCCCCCTCGGCTGACCCCTCCCTTTGAAAGAATCAATTAGTTCACTGAACCTTTCAATTTTGAGCCTCGCCATATTTCGTAAACAACAACTTCCGCTGAGCTCCTTCTGAGCTCGCTTTCGTGACAGGTGCTGTGCTATATATATATATACAGTGTCTTATTAGTTCCAACCTTTTTGCAAGGACAAAGCTTGAATTGCATAAATCATAAAGATTTGGGCACGCTTCAGTCGCGATTCGTGCCCGATGCTTCGGCACCCGTGCTTCGCGATGCAACTCGCGTTTTTTGTGCCACGCGTTTGTCGTGCGCGAAGACGAATGGTATGATTCACCAATCATTGCGAGGCTCACGACATAAAGCAATGACGAGGAGAGATGTTTGAGGTAGGAGTGGTAGGTTCCCGACCCAAACATGGTCCAGAACTTTGGTGACGACCCAATATGAGTGCTGGAACGACATCCAGGGTGAACCAAATTGAAAAACACGGTCCGTGGAACGCCGGATGTCAACGATCCGTGCGATCCGTCTGTTTCAAACACTGCTGGCTTCACCAGGATTCTTTGGGACGAGTCCTCCAAGGACGATGGGATGCGCGGCTTCCCGGCCAGAACGGCTCTGCAGACCTGGCAGGTACCGAGACGGACGACGTTTCCGACTGCCAGAGCGAAGGGCTGGCCACCGGCCTCACGGTCGTTTTCCGCGTGCTCTCCAAAGGGAAGCTGCCCGCAAAGCAGCCTATTACAAGACATCACTGGCTGAAGGGACATTTTGGATAACGCATGATAACGCCTGTTCCAACGCCCCAACGCCCACTTCCCACAAGAACAGGTCAGGCATGCTCGTAGAGCAGTATTCCAAGTGCCCAAACCTGAGCTCCATTCTTTTTTATGTGTTGGGCTTTCCAGCGAGTCTCAAGAAAGACTCAAAAATAGCCCAACAGCAGGGAGTCATATGCTGTTTCAGCAGTTTGTCATGAGCTTTTCACATCCACTTCAAGGCCATATCCTTTGCCACGCATGACTTCAGGGGCCATATAGTGAGTGGTGCCTCCGGAGTCTCTCCACACACCCACATCATGGAAACGAGGAAACATGGCAGTGATCGAGCATTCTGTTTGGCTGAGGAGGGTGCCCACCAGTGTAAAGGTTCTCCCACATTTGGCATCCAACTTCTTTGCAGTGCCAAAGTCCACCAGCTTCAGGTATCCCTGCAGAATCCCAATGGATCCGTCCGCAGTCCAAGTATTGCGCATTGATTCAAGCCAAACGTTTGGTCTGTGGTTTACATATCTCCTGCAGCCGGAGCTTTCTTTTTGTGGGGCCTCTTCATCAAGCAAGATATTCTCCGGCTTCAGGTCACGATAGACCACATTGCGTTCATGTAGCGCTTCCACCATGAGCAGGATCGAGCCCGCATAAAACCTCAGATCGTGACCGAATAAGCATGTCGAATTCATGTATATATATTCATCACACTTTCCGAGGTCCAAACATTGCCTGCTGTCGGCTGAATACTGTGTTGATGGATCGCATGGCAGCATAGAGCCTCGAAATACGAGAAGAAGAATAGAGCTTGGCAGCTTGGCCGTGACAAGCAAAAAAGCTGGGCAAGTGGTGACCCAAGGTCATACCAGCCATGCTAAAACCTTACGTCACGACGGTTTTCGTGCGCGCGGTTGAGGTTCCAGCTCGCCGCCGCCCACATACTCGGCCAAGACATAGACATTCCGTAAGGTTTCCAAGGCCTTGACCTGGACGTAAGCGGCTTCCAAGACTGACGACATCATTGTGGTAGATTTGATGTCATCGTTGATGACATAACTCTTTGCAGCAATGCTGGTAGTAAGTTCGAGACCATATGCATAAGGAAAGGATGATCGTTTTCAGACAAGATCTCGATTTCACGCTGCACTTCCTGTGATACCTGAACTTGGTATCAACTTCTCCCGGATGCATGCAGGTTGAAGACCCACGGAATGTTCAGTCAGATCTCTCAAGCAATGCTGTGACATATCTGTGATGAGAGATCAATGCTCTGCCTTGTCGTTGTCGTCGACCTTTTCCATTCGTTTCAGTGCATATCTTGCTCCTGATTCTTTGTGTCTGACCTGATAGAAGTGCACGACATTCCCTTGTACGACCAGCCAACCTGCACCTGAACTTGACTGTGGAAACACCCCAGGCTCCCGGCCAACCAAACCGTCCCAGACGTTCCGGTCCCCACTTGCCCAAGTCGATGCAAGTCTCGCAGCCTCGAGGCGTTCGTTCCCCAAGGGTTAGAGTTCTTCACCCCAAGGGTGTTTGCATGAAACCACCCTATGACACCCACCAACTAACCCACTCCCTCCCGAGTCCATGAAAAAACGAGATACATATATAATATATTGTTTCAATGTATACTTATAATGCCCTTGTGTTATCCACAGGTTCCCTAGGCTCCATGAAAAAAAATAAAGTTCCTTTGGTGAAAACAACATAAAGTTGACAAAAGCAACCTGCTCGAGATTCCCTAAATGATGAGGTTGGGCACCCCACCCAAATTAAAGTTTCCCTGTTTTTAGGCCTGCAAGGGGCACTCCAATTGGTGACATTTGGGTTTCGTAGGCTGACTGCTGGCCATCATCAAGGTTAGAGCCTGGCCTTTTGGATTCAATGAAAATGGACGCCAAAACACAGCACCAGAAACTTCAAGAACCACAGGGATCCAACCTCACCAACAGCAAACAGGTGACAGGCCGTGCGAGGCCAAAGTAGCCATGAATGTGGCCAGGAATTTTCTCCATAAGAACCTTGGGGGGTCCTTTGGCTTTACGTCCAAGGCAAGCATATCAACCAATATCCTCCAGAGTAAGCTACCGTAGTATATCTTGTTTAAGTTATCAGGGGGGCGACCTCATAAACAACTGTCTGATGTGCCACCCCTGGCTCATTACTAAAATTGTCAAACCAAGCTCTTAAGCCTGGAAGTTACGTTTATTGCCTGGCGCTCAAACTCAACAAAGTTCCTAGGTTCTTATGGATCATATTGCCCCAAGCTCCTGAACTCTATATTAGATCAAAACATCAAAACCTCAAATGCCACACTGATCGCACGGACTCACGGACTCACGGTGAAGAAACCGACACCGAACCCGGCCAGGGCACTTCACACCCGGATCTTGTAACAGCGCTCGCTGTCGGAGCTGCTCCGAGGCTCTGATCTCCTTTCCCAGTGCCTGGCACGATGGAGCTTC